CAGGCCATACACACCACATCAGCTGAGATGACCAAATGGACCCACATGCCAGCTATTAAAACCTTTCATTTTGTGTAGCCTTTATGAGGCTTACTGAATGTGTTTATACGCATTCATATTTGCTGTTAAAACTGCCACATTTTCACACAAGCTAATGGCGTTAATAATGTTGACTTTCAGTGATGATCCATTAATCTACATCTTTTGTGACTAATCACGGCAACTTAAAGCAAAGCACACTAACAGACTTCAGTCCACAAGCTGGAAGGGTGTCCACTCAGAGTGAATATAATGGCCACATGATTGAACTTCACAGGCAAGCAACTTCTCCCATGAATCATCATACTCAACAGGTAAAGTGATTAAGGAGCGAGTAAAGAAGAAAAATACCTGATTGATGGGGCTAATTCATGTCCCTGAGCAAGGACTTTTTCTTGGTCTTCTCGGATCATATATTGTAAGCCCTACTCGCACCATATACACAGCTGACCACACTTTCCCAGCAGCTGCTCATTAGAGAGTGTTGAACAGGGTGCCAACAACAAGCTGGGACACTTCTGACACCCTATGTGGGCCGCTTTGAATTAGACCACGAATGAAAAACTAGTGGCGACCAAGACTTTGACTGCCTACTTACTCGGAGCAGACTGACAGCCGCCTCACCACTGGACATGTTTGGAACTACTTTTATGGGCTGACTTCTACTCTTTGACGGGAAAAAAATAACAATATCAGACTGGATATGTCAAATACATATTCTAAATGGCAAAAATAGTTTAGGACATAGTTTAAGTAGTTCAGATTTATTTTTCTGTGAATAGAACACAATTTAAGGCAGGTACAAGTATCACTGCAGGCTGGAAAGAGAAACATTTTAGTTGGATAGTAAAATTATACTTGAGTTCACAGCAGTTACTTTAGTAAAAAAATAAAAATCTTATTTAAAAAAATGTCTTTCCTGGTTCCTTTGTAATTGTTACATTTGATTTCAGGGATGGTGGATTTCCCTAGCTTTTATTTAATCATCATGATTGACCAAATTTTGTCTTTTTTCCCTCGAGTTGAGCCTGTCTTAACCAAGTTATTTTTCTTGTTCCCCATTCATAGTTTTCCCCTCCTGTTTGGCTATATTTCTCCCCTGCAAAATTGTTACTTTGGTTGTGAGTTGAAAACACTTCTTTATAGGTTCGCTCGTTGTATTTTTACACCCTGGCTAGTTATAGGTGTTGTCAGAGTCTAAATGGTAATACCTGATAGTCTTTGCATTTTTTTAATTAGCAGGTTTGTTTGTACAATAAAATTTCTTCTGAATCAATCCATGGTGTTTTTGTAAATTCATTTTCCTGTTGCTTGGTTATTCTTTCGATATCTTCACTTATCTAACATGTAACAGATTTTCATTTTACAACCTGTTGTACATTATAAATCTTCTTTGTCAGCTGTGAGGTGGAGCAAGTCTTTTCTCAATTGACTTCCTTGATAACCTGTGGCCAGTACATGACCGAATTGAATTGATCTTCGTGGAAAATAATGTTGTGGACAGGAATGACCTCCTGTGCTATTCATTGAACAGAGCTAAAAAAGACACTGAATAAATAGAGTGTTATATTGAGTTTATGCTGTATTATCTAGTGACTTGCTACATTCTGCTTTGCATTATGGATGAAAAAAGCCCTATTTGTTCAGTTTCTTTCAGAAATCAGTATTAATGTCTCTACCTATTCAGATATACATTGCACTCTCACCACAGACTTATTGAAGAAATCCAACGACTTGGTCCATACCGTGAATGGCCCAATCTGCCAAAGGAAGTGCAGTCTACAGTAATTCGCTTTGAAAGGTGGTGGTTAGCAATATTCACTCACAGCAAGAGCCCTCCAAGCTGGAATGTCAGCCCAGGCATTTCTGTGTGGCGTTCTCATGTTCTCCTTGTGCATGCGGGGGGGGGGGGGGGGGGGGGGGGGGGGGGGGAGTTTCTTGAGCTTCTTCCCACTGACCGAAATGTCCATGTTAGGTTAATTAGTGAGTCTAGCTAATTAAAGTGAATGTGATCGTGCATGGTTTTTTGTCGGGCAGCTTGAAAGTTTTCCATTTGCTAATCAGCCTCTCACCGTAGAATGATGGACTTCAAAGCATTTGAATATGACCTCAGAACCTGTTTGGAGTTTGCATGTTCTCCTCGTGTATGCGTGGGTTCTCTCAAGATATTCCAGCTTCATCTCATAGTCTTAAGACATGTTTACGAAGTTAATTAGGGACTCCAAATTAACTGTCGTGTGCATAGTTGTGTGACTCATTTGTCTCTGTGTGGCCTTGTGACTGACAACATGTCTAGAATGTGCCACGCCTCTTGTCCAGTGACAGTTCCTAATAGCAGTAAGCTGTTTAGAAAATAGATGGATGAATGAAATCCTCTGAATTAGGCTCAGTCAGAATACCTCCTGTATAAAGACTTCACGAGAAAACGGCCTTTCACAGAGTAGTCCATTTAAATATCATAATCTGAACACATAGACACTCCCGCACAAACATATGGTTTGATATCTTTAGACAAGCATGCTGGCAGAATTCTTGGAATGCTTTTGGACAGGGAGGCTGGTCTCAGCTGAAAAGGGTTGCTGGTATTGGTGTCCACTGAGAAAACTGATGGACAGCACAGCGTCAGGAGCCTGTCGCTTTTCATCACGTCACATATTTGACCACCCTGACAACCATGCTGAGAGCTGTAATTTTTTGACAAATACTTACGCAGATCAAGTAGAGTAAAGAAGCCCACAATTCCTTCATTCATAAGAAAAAAATAATTTAATTTATCGGTTTTGATCATCACTGGGTTATGGAAGCATTTACTACATAAATTAAAAAGTTTATTCAATTAAAAGACAATGTGTTCAGAAAGGGGAATTATCATTAACTGTCTTGTACAAAATTTAAATACTGACCAGTGCATTTAATTTTTGGATAATGGCTGCCAACATGTAAATATTAGAAGCTCAGTGACTGGACCTATATCTTTCATTACACTCTATGTAAAAATATCTTTTTGAAGGAGGTTCAGTTTCAACTGACAGTTCTCTCTTTAAGGCAACATCCTTCTGTTGGCAGCCACATACCAAATATCATTAAGGTCTAAAAACACCCTGTATTATCCTTTATCTAGAAAACTAATTTGTTTTTTAAAGAAACTTTATCTCCACCTCTTGATTTGAAATACCACTGCAAACAACTTTTTTCCCTTTATTCCAAGATTGGTGAATGTAGAATTCTTGTTTGTATAGTTTGTATATAAATGCTTATGTGGTAATAAAAACTAAATCACTCTTGCCAGTTTCATAATTCCATTTATCAACCTCTGTTTTGAAACTTTACTGAACCCATCATGATGATTGGATACATCTTCTGATGTCTGACAGCCTGGATTCTTCAATCCTAAAAACATAAAACCAACAGTCCTTTCTCCATAAATATTAGTTGAATAAATCATAGTGATGCTGTTCTTACAAAAATGATACAGGCGTCCTAATTTAGCCTTTTAAATGCGGCAACTACAACAACATGCACACATGCTTGCACAGAGTTCTCAGTGAAGCTCTTTTCGTAGAAAATGTGTGAACCCAGACAAGAAGGAAAGGAGAGCAAACTCGTGTAGACCTACAGAGCTGGTAAAAAGAACAAGATTCCATTAAGTATGACACTAATGTTCCGTGTGTAACTGTGTACAGGTTAACCTTAGGTGACATTCAAACACACACTGAATACACAGACACATGCGCATTGAGCAGATAGTTAAAAGGGATAGACTTCAGCTTTTCAATTCTAAGAATATTTAAAAACCTTTAAAGGGTGGTTTCTGGATGTGAGGCAGAGCATCCATTACTTATAGCTTTCCCTTTATATACAAGAAAAGCCTTTTTCAAGAGGTAAAACCGTCTGCTGCGTCCAACTTTCTCTGTGATAGATATACATGTATATATATGGTAATTCAAAGCAGAGATACTGTCTCCAGTTAATTTCTCATTGGCGATCAATAAAGTATTCAATTAATCAATCAAAACAATCAATCCAAGTAACTTAGACAGTGATTTTGTCAGATTTTTCACCTCAAATCACTGTTTGGGGATCCCAAGATGATACCAGACCAGATGGGATATTTAAACTGTATCTGGTAAACCTCAAAAGGTTGGTGAACTAACCAGGAGGCTGTGGCTTAGTTGACTCTTCACCACAATGGATAAGAGCAGTGCCCTCATTTCTGCTACGAAAGGTCCGACCTGTTTGTCCATCCAGCCAACAGGCATTTGTGAGCGAGAACCAGATTTACCAATACGCATCCACAAACTACAGAATTCCACATATTTAAAGTCTAAAACCATAGCCTAAGAATTTGGAAGAAATTACTCTCATGCTTATGGAAAGAAGCTTGTAATCTCAAGAGTGTCCACAATTTCTGACGTGTTCTAAAATTAATACACAATTATGCCTTATTGTTCAGATAAAAAGATGTAAAAAAAACCAAACAACTCAGGATATCAATGCACATTTGAGTCTGATCAAACCTACGGAAGTCACAAGAGGACACAATGTGCAATGAGGTAGTGCTTGGAGATCCCACCCATAAAATTATAAATAAAAATCTCATACAAACACAAAATTCTGCTTCAAAAAACCACATACAGAATTATAAGGGTAGTCATTGTCTTGAAAGACAGAATATAGTTCAGAAGAAATTCATAAGCAATTGCTGATGTTGAATATATTTTAGTTGAAGTGTGTTCAAGTTCCTGGTGTGGCGATGCAATTTATATGGCGCTCTAAGGTTGGCTAATTTTGAGTATATTCAGTATTATTCCACTATATTCTGAACTACGAAATAATCACACGTGAAAAGACAGGGAATAGGTGTTGCTGAGGTCAGGTAATCATTTAGCATGTAGTTTTGCGTGACGGGCTTTGGGTCACAGCCAAGTCAACTGCTTGAGACAGCAGAGAAACAGAAACACCAGCTACAACAAGTGCTGCGCTCTCTATGCTGCCCCGGCACTTGGCAGTGAAGCAGACCTGGTGAAGCAGCTTACTCTGAGTTACAAGTTCGTTTCGGACGCCCCGCACAGTGTTAGCCACCTTCTTGCCTGACTGACCAAAAACCAACACAAGCAGCAGCACTTTAAAAATCGCGCTTCTTACTTCTCTGAACATCCTCTTTCCTGCCCTAATTCTCTCTCTCTCTCTCTGTCTCTCTCTCACTCGTTTCTTTGAACCCACACAGCCCTGCGTATGAGTGCCTCCCTTGAGCAAGTTGTTAAGTGCGTTCTCCCAAAAAAAAAAAGAAGACAAAAATCCACAAAGGCCCATTTGCAGTCAGCTAGAGTTCCACACACACCATACACATAAATGCAGGATGACACTAACACGCATAGACGCATATACAGACAACTGCATTCACACACTAAAACCCTGACACATGTAGACAACAACTCTCTCTCTCTCACACACACACTTTTCACACTTCCCTCTGGGCAAACGGGGCAGAGTGGCAGAAGCGAGGCTGGGATAAATGATACAATGATATCCAGGCCTGACTTGTCAGTGAAGTTGAGAGAGAGGATGAGGAGGATGAAGAGGAGGGGTGGGCGGTGGCAGCTCTGAATACAGAAATGATTCTTCGTCATCTCACAGTGTCACTGCGCGTTACGCTCAAACTCTTGCCTGGCAACTTGAAGGGAAAGAGAAAAAGGTTTCAAGGGGAGGTGGGTGAAGAGCTAGAGGGCAGCTATAATGACCACACTCTGCTTTCACACTTGCCACCTTTTCTCTCAGTACCACACTCTCCGGCTTCAACCGGGCTCACATTCCCTTATCTGGCCATTCACTTGGTCCCTGACGTCTTCTTCTCTCCTCTTTTCTTTTCTGCGTTTGTTCTCGCTGTTGGTGATGGCGGGACTGAAAAGCTTTCAGGGAGAGAGTGCACTCATTTTCTCTCTCCCTGGCTTTCTTGTCTTTCTCTGGTTAAAGCGAGGGGACAACACGGCCCTCTGGGCATGTCGCAAAAATGATTAACTAATAGTTCTGAATTACTCAAGTATCCAAATGGCGTGTGTACTTAAGAGTACAGCAGGCAAACTTAAATATTAGGCTGACGGTTGCATTCACTCTTATTCTATTCGCAACACACATTTAGCTATCCATAATGTGATGCTCTGAGAAGGCCGGTAGTTAAAAAGTGGAAAAACACATGTCAAATAAAAAGTTTGATGGCGAGAGACTTCAAAAGCGAGATGAATTCACTTGTAGATAAGGCGGATTTATTATTCGTTGAGTAAACTTCCTGGACAGACCAAAGAGAACTCTAAGTTCATGACAAATAAGACAGGCATGCTGAAAACCTAAATTTCATTATGTTTGTCTTTAAGATTTTAATTTGCACACTGGATACCCAGGTAATGTGCGTAAACAAAAATATAAACTTCTTCTTAAACAAAGACTGTCTCAGTACAACTTCAGGAAATAGTAAAAAAAAATTAGTGATTTACATTTTTTCAGGGATATATACAAATGAAAAGTTGCACTAACACAGTGCTAATAAATTCGAACCATTTGGCAAAAGCTTAAAATGTTAGATCGCAGACAGAGTTTTTTAAGAATCCGCTATACAGCCATCTTATGTTTCATTATTGCACAAATATTACTCTTGTTTGTGTATTACTGCATCATTATGTGTGTGTGTTTAGAAATGAAGCCAGCAGACCTTTGGAATGAATGATTGGAAAAGAGGGACCTCCAAGACTGTGAGCTTTCCCCACCTTTCCCCAGCTCCCACACACATCCCCATGTGTTGTTACTCTTATGATGGATATCAGTGTTCTAAAACAAGGCAGAATAGCAAAGAAACTAGTCAGTCGGCGGGATAATAGCACGGCTTTGTGTAACAAGGGTAAGTGGCCAATTCAAATACAGGATGTATTGTGTGACCATTAAATCACACAGCTGTATGAACAGGCGTGCAGTCTAGTTTCCATTTTTCCTTAATGGACCAATTATTGATGCTTTATATTGACTGATTTATACAAAACCAACTCTTAAAGAGGTTCTTCCTTCATACATGTTATGATATAAATAAAAACATATAGATAAATACAGCCTTGACATATCGCTAGTCCATCATAGGGCCACACAGAGACTCTTGGTTGAGATATATATATATACCGCAAACTATATATATATGTATGCCTATAATTTTTATAGAAGTCTGCATTGCATCTAAAAATATCAATTTTGAAAGAGTGTTATATACTACCTTTTTCTCATTTTTGGGATGAAAATGCATTACATATTACAGTGAGCTGTCAAATTGTATGATTCATTGGTGAAAGCCTGCTGTAGCCTGTAATCTAACATATGCATCTATGGAAAATGCAATACAATACTTATTACTGCAACTCATTTCTAAAGGACCATAATTGCTTTATTTATTGGTCCCCCTGGACAGCAATTGGCTCATCTACGTGTTATTTTTTTGTCGAATGTCCAGACTTTGGCTTCCTTAAAAAACCTGAAGTTGTACTGCACCTCGGTCTAAATGAGAATTGCAGATGTCAACATTTCCAGTTTACACAGACATTTATTTCAACCCAGATAGCTAACATGAAAGCCATCTTGACCGTTGCTCGCTTGAGGAAAAATGGACAACGTATGCTGTGGTGTGGACGTTGGCACTGTCACTGTAGCAAGAAGGGTCCTGGTTAAATCCTGTCTGGTGCCTTCTCGGTGGACTTGTATCTAAATTAGTATAAATGGTCATTCTAAATTGACCTTTTTGAGTGAGTTCGAGCAAACATGGTTGCTTGTCTTTGTGTGGCCCTGTGATGGGCTGGCAGCCTTTCATGAGTGTATACTGACTCACACCTCGTGGTTACTGTGGGAGGCTGTGACTGGGATCCAGTCAAAACTACTTTTATGAAATTGCCATAGACTCATATTTCAGCAATTTGCATTGGTACTGTTTTACGATTGTACATAAAAGTGGTTAAAGCTTTAGAATTTGCTTCCAGTTTGTGCAGTACCTTAAATTTATGTTCTCGTTTGAATGTTTTTAATACAACGAAAGAAGTCTCCACTTTCTTGGAGTGCAGTGAAATGATAGACTCAAGCTTTAAGTCATGTAAATTATTGACAGAAATTTTGCTCCAAGTTACTTTCAAGCCCACAATTTCTCCTGTACGTGTAAAGTTCATAGATTGAAACTATGGGGATGTCATTTTAGCAGGCAGCTACGCAATTTTCTTAAGTTAAACTTACATTGCCACAAATGGGTAAACTTTACCAGGAAATTACATCGCGGGCTTCTTCCAACATTAACCCTTTTTGTTGCACACCTCATAAATCCTGAATCCATTTTGATTATTTAAAAACATTGATGCACGTGTTATTATGTGTATGCAAGCACACACAGAATCTTGGCTGTCTTAAACGTGTTGAGACACAAAGTTGTGCACTGGACTATTCAGCAGCTTCAAATATTGATATTTTTCTTGTTGTTCTTATTGTTTCCTTGAGCTTTAATCCATATCAGCAAAGCTAGATATGTGGGTAAGTGTGGTTGGTCCCCTGCATCCTTACACCATCAATCAAACTTACTGCAGCATGATAATGTTAAAACAAACATGAGCTCAGAATTTTTTTGCCGATGTAAATTATTAATCTTCCTCCAACGATCTGCCGTGATAATTTGAGTCAGGGATTTGATATAAACACTCTCCAAATTCCACATGGAATGTAAATCATTGATTAACAATTTATTACAACCTGAATTTCATTCACAGAAAAACTGTAGGCAAGGATTGAAAAAATGCTCTTAAATTAATACTCCTAGTGACAGAAGTCAATCCATTTGCTATTCTGCAGACATTCACCACAGACATTCACATTCACTCCGATGAGCAGTTTAAAATTATGATTAAAATAATGATTAAGCAGAAAGAAGTTTTAAAGATTCAGTTTTAAGAATGATCAAAAAATGCCTTTTTTTAACATTTGATACATAGACCGTAAAATCGACTTTTAAATAGGGTTGAAAAACAACAGAGAAACTGCAAAAAAGTTAATAACTTACAGATAAATAAGAAAAAAATGTACTGTCTTTATATTTTCTTGTCAGATTACGACAGAAATATATGTAAAAATGTATAGAACTGTTGTTAAACAGAGTTGCAAAGCATGACAGTAAAGTTAGTACTAAAGAAGACTTTTAGATGACAAGTACAACATTTTGTAGTGGTTACCTCATCATTTGATTGAATTTTTTTTCAATTTTGATAAGGGCACTCTTTAGTAACTGATGGTTTAGAAACTTAAAAATCTGAGTATAATGAAAACTTATTTTACACCCCCACAAAGTAAAACAAATTGACTGATATTCATTTAAAAAAAAAAACATGTGCATGATGGCATTTAAATTCAATATCATATTCACCACATATATGTACACGACAGCAGCGTAATACCTGATGTCCGTCCATTTGATCTAAACACAGAGAGCATACAGACACATTATATTTAATATGCTGAAATACTACTTCTACTGCTCCTAAAGTGTACTTTTATAGTTCAAAATTTAAAAAGAACTAAAACATCTAATTTTGTGACATCAGCTGTATGGAACCTCAGGGATTGCCAGATTCAAATATTTGCTGATGAAAGCTTCTAACCCAAATCATGGGCATTGGGCTTCAAACATCCATTAGTCAGCAATGCTCCAAACAGAGCTATACAAAAACAAAGGAAAATGTAATCAAAAATGGAACTTTATGCCTTTCTATATATATTACTTTTTTTGTGCAAATGATTAAATGCTTCCCACGAATAAAGATTGCTAGTAATAAATAGTGGAGCAGCCAGTCCAGATTAAGTGCTTTAATGGTTGTTTATTATTCAACTTTTGTGCTTTATTCATACTTATTATGAGATCCGTTATTATTTCTGTAAACTCAGATGATGCGAAGCAAGTGACACTATATGCTCTGAAATGTCTATGACTAAAAAAGAACAAAATACAATGAAAACGAAGGAGAACATGGCCGGAAATATCCTTAACATTTAAAGGTATAGTGTATGTTCAACTAATTTAATTAAAGCAAACTAACAAAAAAGTGTCAGTGCTCTTGAGGCGGAGTGGCTCTCAGCCGTGATATATCAGATTGTGTTGAGCACTAGTACACCCTCCATATGGCTTCAATGGAATTTATGTTTGGCAGGCACCAATAAGCCAAATCTAGTTAGCAACATTATATCATTGGACCTTAATCTAATTTAAGTCCCAGTGTTTTAGTCATCAGTGAGTCCCCACTCCATTCTCTCTCCCTCTTCCTCATCGTCCTCTGTTCTCTCTCTCCCTCTGTCCATCCATCCATCTCTCTGTGTGAGTGTCACCTGCCCTCCAAGCTGGCGACGCCGGGTCTCGGCCTTAGCGTGAGAGCCCATTACTCTGACTAGAGGCTTTGTTTTCGCTGTGAATCTGCAAAAGACTATGTGCATATAAGTGTGTGTGTGTCGGAGGGGGAATGTCAGAGAGACGGTGATTTGTTGCATTAGCAAGCATTCCAGTTCTGCGATTCCCCGAATGTGTGAGAAGGGGACACATAGAGAGGAAAAAACAACACATTCATTTTAGTCAATTGTCATTCAACAAACCGTTTTTTTGTGTGTACAAAAAAAAGTCTGTGATAAATAGCAGAGGGGCTGCATAAATAATGACATAGATGGGGTCGAACCTGGTGTATATAAAAGTTTGAAAAGTTTGTAAAAAGTTCTCTCAGCAGTTGCATGGAAACGAAAAAAAAGAACAGATGAGGAGAGTATACGCATTGGTGAGGTAAGAGGGAGTGCACGCTTGTAATCAGGTTTAAGGGCGGCGTTAGCAACTTTGTGTGCTGAACCATTGCTCTGACTGTGCAAGATACCATCTGCTACTGCCAGTCTAAGTCTCACATGTACATATACAAACAAAGACATTTTTTAAACAGGCCTAATAAAGACAGTCAAATCACCTTTAACTGTACATATATTATTATGGATATATCCGAGCAACTCCATATGATTAATGAAATACCACAGCTCTGAGAAAACGAGAGAGAGAAAGAGAAAGAGAGAGAGAGATCATAAGGTTTGGGATGACATGTTAACTTTCAGCTCACTCACACAGAAAGCCACAGGGAACTAAATCTTTGAAGAAAAAGCCAAGATTTTTTTTGTCTAATACTATCTGAAATGCATGTACAGAACTACCACAGAAAATAAATGAATAAATGGATGGAAATGCCAAGTGCTCCATATCCCGGGTGTGTCATTCATCTGTCTACAGTATATGTTGAGGTTTGGAGTCTGGAGAAGGATGAGGCTGGCGTGTACACCGAGTTAGTATTTGATATGGCTTCTATCAGTGGTGATGTTTTAGAACATGAGGTCTTGAATTCCTGTAATTAATTTGACTGTTGGGAAGTTTTGGGAGTTTGTGTGGGTTTTCTTTTCTTCAAATATTGTTTACCATGGCCAATACACACATATTTCCTCATAGATAGCGCCGTATGTCCGTGGTAAAATACTCTACATGATGTCAAATCCAAATGTACATAATTCAGGACAACCACAAACGCTTTCAACTCAGATTGGGGCATTTTGCTTCCTTTACAGTACATTTACAACTTTAGCAAGTATTTATTTAAATCATTTTTTCAAAACTACTCGAGACATTCTGTCAACTTCAGTCACTAGTCACAACCCTGTGTGTTAGTTTAAAAATGAATTTTTAATTGATAAAATAGTAATTTTCACAACTGCTCCTTTAAGAGTTATTTTTCTTTATTGTGACAGTTTTCATTATTAAAATATCTGTCAGACTTAGTTAAGATCTATCTAAAATATTATGAATGAATAACTTTACTGCTTTATTTTCAACTTGCAAACTATAAAGCAGTGCTCAAACAATTTAAACATCTAATCTTAATTATCCATCCACTTAGAAGGAAGACAGAACTTGTTAAAGATTGTTGTTATTTTACATATCATATATTTCAAAACTTACCCTCAATACACCATGTAGTGAGTAATTATCTATAACTTTTATAATTTGTAGCGCAACTCAAATACAAAGTAGGTCAAAGAATTTCAATGGACATAAAAAGAAACACTGAAAAAACAACACACACAAAAAATCACACAAAGAAAAAAAAGAAGAAAGATTTCTCTCTTTCCCTTTTTTTTCATTGTCCACTATAAACCATTCCTAAAGTTCCTTATGACCGTTCACTTTTTATTCAGACCACAGCTTCAGTTAACTGGTTATCAAACAGCCTAAATCCAACCGTCATCTGGAATAGATGGATGACAAAAGCTAAACCATGTTTCCTTTTATCCGTAAAGCAACAACCCCAAGCCATACATGGCTCTTCACTGCCTACAGCAGACACAGGACTATTTCCTATGTGTTCCAGGGCACAAGTGCTGTGATATTAGATTATCCAAAAGAGATTGAAGCCTCTGTGTCTGTATGAATGGATGGAGGAACCAACAAGTCCATCACATTCCCTGAGGATGATGTCTTCATCATGGCGAAGGAAAGAGAAAGAGAAAAAGAGAGAGAGGGAGAGAGTGTATGTTTGCACTTGTTTGTGTGTGTGCGTTCATATGTCATGGGTAGATTTTGATGTAATTTGATCAGTAATGAATTTTGTGTTGCATTAAAGAAGGGTGGGGG